GTGGACCAGGAGTGACCTTTAATCAAGTTAATCACACATAGAGAGTGAGTCTAAAAACACATAATTTCTCTTATTTGAATTTGTTTCTGGCTTATTCTTGTGATTTAAGAAAACAATAATTGAGCAAAAACCATGAAAACAATTTTAGTAAAACTTCCATAAGGTAAGAGAGTGTGAGCTACCTTACTAAGGAAGCCAATTGTTTATTCCATCACTTGAGCCTTCTGTGGAGCCCTCTAAAGTCAGGATAAGTGACGATGCCTGACAGGAGAGGACAGAGTGGCCACGATGCCCAAAGACATACACTGATTAGACTCCCTCATGGGTCCTCCCAGAAAAACTTGAAAAGGAAGGACTTTTGCATAAGGTTAGAAAAATGCACCATCCTTGGGGCAAGAAGTAACAACGAGTCATAATTTTGAGGCACAAACGAGATAAAGTGGGAGACCTGTGGAAAATACAGACTCTTATACTGCGTATTTGCTCAGGTCAGACACAACGTGACCAACCAAAAAGAAGGAGAACAAAGCTCAGTCTTTGGACTGGCTCTTCATTTTCTGTTTTCTCTTGAAGGGACCATAACTCTTCACCTTTAATGTTCTGTGAGGCAGTGTCTCATATAAGTATTTGTGCAAAGATTTAAAAAAAAAAAAACAACAGGAAAGAATTTTAAAAATTAAAACCGGACCAAATTTAAAATCTGTGTTCAATTCATGATATTTCCATATGTGTAAACAAACTCATATATAATTGATGTATATTGGGTTATACTAAAGATACTATTTGGCAGCTTCGTTTTTGCACCCAGTGCTATTCATTGACAATTTCCTGGGAGACATACTCCATTCAGTGTAGAGGTTGCATAGTATTTCAATGCATGGAAACATCATGTTTTTTTAACCAGTCATGTACTGATGCAGATTCATCATTCTGTAAGTTTGTATTGAGTATATGCTATGTAATAGACAACTGTGCTGAACATTGTGGCTCTGCAGTGAGCAGGGTGGAGATTTTTCTCTGTGTAAAGAGCATAGAGCCTGGTGCAGAGCTTCCAAACAGATGTGCAGAGACATGAAATGACGAGCCAGGAGATGTTGATCTGGTCTGCCCTTGCAGTAGTTGGGCAGTGCCCAAGAGAGTGGGGAAGAATTTGATTCTGTTGCCTCTCCCTGTCTGATGCTCCTCTGAGGAGGGCAGTGATTAATGAGGCAGTCTGTGGTCTTTGCAGGCTGGGAGGAGAATGAGTGACCTGAGCATGTGCTGCCCCATTACATCATGGTGAAAAGGTCAAGGAGGTGCGCTCAGCTGTCACCTGCTGAGGTCACCATGGTCGCCCATTGCGACCCCGAGCTCATGAGACCTATTGAAGGAGTTTGTATTCCAAGTGCCCAGGAACATGTGGCAAGATGCAATCAAAAGGAAGGGAGGCCGGGTGAGTTAACCTGGCAATGGCAGCTCCAGGTACCATCCTTTATTTCTGGTTCCTCTTGATGAGAATTTTGAGCGTTGGGTTCAGGGAACTGCAGCAAGACTGCTCTAACAATGCCTGCTCATTCTGCGAATTAGCGCATCCATTCTTGCCGGGAGAATCCCAGGGATGGAGGAGCCTGGTGGGCTGCCGTCTATGGGGTCGCACAGAGTCAGACACGACTGAAGCAACTTAGCAGTAGCAGCAGCAGCAGCAGTATTTTGAAATGCTTGATATGAAAACAGCCTAACTGGGTTAAAAATCATTACCATTCTTAAACAAGAAACTTCCAAGTTTCACTTGTTGAGGGATTGAAAGGAAAATGTGTTTGACTCCTTAAATGTAAATTCATCTCTCATATCCTGATGCAAAGAATCAGCTTCACAAGGATAAGTTCAAATTCAAATTTCTCACTTAAAAAAATTAGAAAGTATTTTATTTGGCTCAACAATTAATACCTTCCTTGTTTTGAATTATGCTTTTTTATTATAAATATGTGATATAAAAGTAATAATATTTTCACCCAATCCCAGCCAGAAAGCAATTAAATACCTCTGATTTTACTCTGGTGTCCCATGCAAATATTACCAATCTTTGTTTCATCTGTGTTGCGAAATGATACAGGCTAGGAAGCACTGGCTAATCACTACTTCTTAAACTAACTGTCATAAAGGATAATTTTTCAAAGAATTTCCACTCTGCAATGCGTTTCTACCTCTGTGACAAATTAAAATGAACGTCCATATAAATCACAGAAACATCTTTTTTAATCCATCTCCCAGAATAATGGAAATAAAAGCAAAAATAAACACATGGGACCTACTTAAACTCAAAAACTGTTGCACAGCAAAGGAGACAATAAAAAAAGACAGCTTACAGATCACGAGAAAATATTTGCAAATTATGTGGCAGATAAGGGATTAGTCTGCAAAATTTACAAATAGTTTATGACACTTAATAGCATTAAAATTAAAAAAACCCATTCAAAAATGGGCAGAAGACCTGAACAGACATTTCTCTAAAGAGAACATATAGATGACCAATAAGCACATGAAAAGATGTTCAACATCAACAGCTATTAGAGAAATGGAAAACAAAACTACAATGAGATAAAAGCTCACACTGGTCAGAATGGCTATTATAAAAAATCCACAAACAACAAATGATGGAGAGGGTATGGAGAGAAGGCAGCCCTCCTGCACTGTTGGTAGGAATGGAAATTGGTACAGACACTATAGAGAATGGTATGGAGGTTCCTTAAAAAACTAAAAATAGAGCTACCATGACCCTGCAATCCCACGCCTGGACATATATCCAGAGAAAAACATAGCCTGAAAAGACACATGTATCCCAGTGTTCACTGCAGCACTATTTACAATAGCCAAGACATGGAAGCAACCTAAATGTGCATTAACAGAGGAATGGATAAAGAAGATGTGGATATATATGTGTATATAAATATATACACACATATAAAGGAATATTTCTCAGCCATTAAAAGGATGAAACAATGCCATCTGCAGCAACATGGATGGACCTAGAGAGCGTCATACTGAATAAGTCAGAGAAGGAGAAATATCATATGACATCCTTTATATGTGGAATCCAAAAAGAAATGATACAAAGGAACTTACTTACAGAACAGAAAGACTCACAGACTTAGAAAATGAACTCATGGTTGCAAGGGGGAAGGGATAGTTAAGGACTTTGGGAAGGTCATGTACACACTGCTCTATTTAAAATGGAAAACTGAAAAAAACCTATTATATAGCACATGGAACTCTGGTCATGTTAAGTGCCAGCCTGGATGGGAGGGGCATTTGGGGGAAGATGGATACATGTATATGTATAACTGAGTCCCTTCACTATTCACCTGAAACTATCACACCATTGTTAATTGGCTATACCTCAATACAAAATGTTTTTGGCATTAAAAATTAAATTAAAAATATAAAAAGGAAAAAAGTGAATGTCAAAAATAAGTGACTAAAAAAGAAAAGGAAAAAAACCATGAAATACAAGCTTCTTTTTTAAAATCACTAAGTTCAACAGATATGACATTGTCTTGGCAGATGGTACGAAAGTTTAACATGTGTTGGTCACTCAGCCGTGTCTGACTCTTTGCAACTCTATGGACTGTAGACTGCCAGGCTCCTCTGTCCATGGAATTCTCCAGGCAAGAATACTGGGGTGGGTAGCCAGTCCCTTTTCCAGAGGATCTTCCTGGCCCAGGGATCGAACCTGGGTCTCCTGCATCGCAGGCAGATTCTTTACCATCTCAGTCACCAAGGAAACCTTGTAAGTTTAATGCTTACTTTCAATTCTTTATCATATCAGACTCACTAAAAACCAAGTTGCATACTAACATTAGAAAGCAAAGCATACTTTTCTTTTAAGTTTTTAAATTTTAAAAAAATTTATTTATTTTTAACTGGAGGATGATTGCTTTACAATATTGTGTTCATTTCTGCCATAAATCAACATGAGTCAGCCACAGGTATACATGTATCGCCTCTCTCTTGAGCTTTCCTCCCACCTCCCATCCCACCCACTCCTCTCGGTTGTCACAGAGTACTTGATTTGTGCTCCATGAGTCATACGGCAAACTCCCACTGACTATTATTTTATGTATGGTAATATATACGTTTCCATCCTATTTTCTCCATTACTTCCACTTTCTCCTTCCCTCACTGTGTCCACAAGTCTGTTCTCTATGTCTGTGACTTCATTGCTACCCTGCAAATAGGTTCATCAGTATCATCTTTCTAGATCCCATATATATGAATTAATATATGATATTTGTTTTTCTCTTTCTGACTTACTTCATGCTGTATAATAGGCTCTAGGTTCATCCACCTCATTAGAATGGACTCAAATGCATTCCTTTTTATGACTAACATTTCTTTGTATGTATATACCACAGTTTTTTTTTTATCCATTCATCTGTTGATGGACATCTAGGTTGCTGACCAAATGCCCTCAATTAAGTCTCACTCTCTTCGCTGGTGGCTCAGTTGGTAAAGAATCTGCCTGCAATTCAGGAGACCCTGGCTCGATTCCTGGCTTGGGAAGATCCCCTGGAGAAGGGAACAGCTACCCACTCCAGTATTCTGGCCTGGAGAATTCCATGGACTGTATAGTCTGTGGGGTCGCCAAGAGTCAGACACAACTGAGCAACTTTCATTCTCACTCTGTCACTGGCTCTCATAGTCCTGTTTAGAGTTAGCCTCATTCTTCCTGAAGTTTACCACTCCTTTGCTTCAAACCACACCAAAGACAGTCTCTGAAACACTGACAAGCAGGACCTTAAATAGAGAGTGTGGTTGGTAACTTAACCCATTCATTCATTCAGTAAACTCGAGCCTCAATTCTGTGCTTGTCTCTTGAGTGAAGAGTTTTAGGTTTCAGAGAAATAGGAACTATGAAATGTGCCCTGTGGCCACTTAGAAACTTAAGGAAGGGCAGTGGACAGAGGAACGGACGCAGCCTAGGGTGTCCCAGCTTTCGCTCTAGCGCCAGCGCGGAGGACGCGATGTCTGGGCTCTCTCACCCGCTGCTTTTGGCCGTCGGCTGCCTGGCCACGCTCTGCGTAATCACCGCGGCTGGGAACACCACCCTGGCCCCGAACGTGACTACACCCTCGTCTCCACCGCCCACCGCCACGACAGTCCCGGTGTCACCGACGACTCTCACGCCGCCGCCGGTCACCACTCCGGCACCAGATACCTGTGGAAGCCGAAACAGTTGCATTTCCTGTTTTGATGGTAATGCTACCTGCTTTTGGATAGAATGGAAAGGTAAAAGCTACTGTTCAGATAATTCAACAGTTAGTGGTTGCAAGGTGGTGACCACCACAGGATTCTGTTCTGTGCCCACTGCCGCACCAACGCCAACCAATTCTACAGCTAAAACCACAACTCTGCCTTCCACTACTACAACCACCACCACAGCTACTTCATCAGGTACAACTAATGCCACTTTAACTCCAACTACACAACCTATGCGGAAGTCTACCTTTGATGCAGCCAGTTTCATTGGAGGAATTGTCCTTGTCTTGGGTGTGCAGGCTGTAATTTTCTTTCTCTATAAATTCTGCAAATCTAAAGAACGAAACTACCACACTCTGTAAAGAGACCCACTAAGTTAACAAGGACTGGCGTGTAACTCACTGAAACCAAAATATTATCTTTCAAGATGTCCCACATGGAAGACGCTATTCTAGGATCTTTAATTTTTCAAAGGATGCATATAGGAGCATCACCCTTGAAGAAAAATCAGTTAAATCATTTTGCTCAATGGGAATATTTAAAATATGCTGCATGAATCCTCGTGGCTGTCTTCTTTTATTTTGAATGGCTGCTGCTGTGGGATTATGCTGTCTCTTCTTGATATGCCAAGTGTAACTGTAAGTGATGGAAAACACTGTCCTGCGCAGACAACCTCATGACTCTTTTGGCAATTTAAATGTAGTCATTGTAAGCCTGAAAGCTGCATTATTTTCATCCTAACTGAGGATGTAGTTTAGTGACCAGAATTGAGAAGAATGTGTCAAATGAGCATCAATCAGGTGGATTTTTGGCTATCATTTCAAAAGTGGAATAAATTTATAAATTTAGTATCCATAGAGTAAAATTTTGTGCTTGATAACAGTTATTTTTTCTACAATAGAAAAAAGATGCCACACAGGGAATTACATTCCAGATTTAAAGAAATGAGAGGATACAAAACATGAAAAGTATAGCAGGTTATTGTTCATACTTGTAAAGCACCTTATATCATTGAGAAAGAACAGTGCCTTAAAAGACAGACTGAAAGGTAGACTGTAACCTTTAAAATGCTGGTGATTTGTTCTTTTACGTTAATGAGGGGAAATGTTGGTCTGAGGATGTAACTGTTGATGTGAGCAGTAGTAAACCTGCTTTTAGATACCACACTGTTAGTATTTAATTGAAAACTTACCTACTTCATTTCAAGCCTGAGTAACTTAAATGATGTTCTACAGAGTTGAAAGCCTTCATCTATTGGACCTCCCACCATTTTTGTTATGGCTGTTAAAAAGTGTAAAGTTGATTTAATTATGTTTTCCTTTGTACTTTAAAAAGGTATCCTAACACTGTTGTACCTTAAAAGGATTTCCACTGAGCTTTCTTGAAAAGTAACTTCTATAAGGCAAGGAAGAAATAAGTTGTTTTAGAATCATTTACTAACTCTTTAAATGAGACAGTCATTTTAAGTTTTGAGATAGCAAATGTGAGCAGTATAATTTCAGAAAAAATTTTAGTTGATCAGATGACTAAATTTTTATTGATAATTGCCCTGGATAAACAGATTGAACTTTTTGTTTCTCCTCTCCCAGGCTTTCTTCTTAAGTTTTGATTCCTGTTGTAGGAAAAGCATGTGTACTTTTATTTTTTAGTTTCCTCATGAAGCACTAGTTTTTTTCAGGTTGAGGGATATTTCTTCCCTGCCTTTGATGCATTGGATTAGTTCAGGGGCTTAAATCAGTTTAAAATGAACTTTTGCTTTTCTAGTCATTAAGATGTTTTGTTTTAGTTTCTTTAGCCTGTAGTGGCCGATTTTAGTACTGGTTTTCAATATTTTATAGTAAAAGACAAGTTTCTTTGGTCCATTTCATAAGCCAGAATTCTTTATATTTAGATAATTAAAGGTTCTTAAAATGAAGATTTACTGTTTCTTTGTTACTTGCTGGTACAGCTAAAGTTTGTTTTACTTGCACATTTGTACATATACCTAATGTTTTCAAGTGCCTTAATTGTTAAGATCTCTGGCTTCAAAGGTTTTTGGGAAAAGGTAGGCTTACCTCACATTTTTGTGTTTCCCTCAGTAGTGATATTCTAGGTACCTCACAAAAATTTTTATTATGGTGCCATAGCTGTTAGCTTTTAGTGATTCCTTTAAGATACAAAATTGTGTTGAAAATAAACAGAATTTCCATTCTCCCAAAGGGGTAAAAATTAGCTACAATGGTGTAATTGTCATTTACTTAGATACAGATACCTTGCCACACATTAATGTTAATGCTATAGCTATTTCTGTGAAAATGTAGCTGATGAAGCCTCTCATCTTCTGTAGTTTTGAATACTGCTCTAACAGAATCATAATATGGAATTAGATTTTACAAGAAGAGCTCTTACAGTGAACTCACAGCCTTTTCCCCTCTTTAGCAGTTTAGTATCTTGAGCCATTAATGATTTGGTTTTTTTTTTTAATCCAGAAGGTATATAGAAACATTTTCAGATTTTTCACAGGATTTGTTCATGCAGATTGTTATTCTATTAAAATCCCGTACCTTACCTTACAGATAATTGTTGCACAGGCAGACACTGCTGTATTTAGAAATTTCTATTTCAGTTCATTAAAAACTGCAAAACCAATCTGTATCATGTACCAAACCAATCTAAAATAAATCTACATGTTTATTGGGTTAAAAAAAAAAAAGAAACTTAAGGAAGGGGCTTTCCTTGCGGTACAGTGGATAAGAGTCTGCCTGCCAATAACGCGACACAAGTTCAATCCCTGGTCTGGGAAGATGCCAAATGCCGTGGAGCAGCATGTGCCACAACTATCAGAGCCCACAAGCTCTAGGGTCTGTGAGTTACAAGTACTGAACCCGCATGCTGCAGCTACTGAAGCCCATGCACCTAGAGCCTGTGCTGTGAAGCAAGAGAAGCCACTACAATGACAATCTTGTACAACCACAACAAAGAGTTGCCCCTACTCTCCACAACTAGAGGAATCCCGAATACAGCAGCAAAGACCCAGTGCAACCATAAATAAATAAATACATAAATAATTGTTTAAAAAAGAAAGAAACTTACAGAAGACTTAAAAATACACTCCTGAAATGTCAGGGAGGCTATATGACATGATGACTAAGAGCTTCTTGGGCTTCAGAGTAGGACAGAGCTTTTAGGCTTGACTCTGCCACTTACTTAACCTCTTTGTCAGTTTTCTTATCCATAACATGGGGTTGTCAGGCTAATGCATATAGTAAGCACTCATGAAATATTAGCTATTGGTATTTGAGAAAAATATAGGAGAACACATGAGGTACAAATACTTTCCATTTGCCCTGGACTTTACAGGTATGCTATGGTTGTTGTTTAGGAGTTGGTTAATTAAACTAATTATTGCCATAATCATTTGGCAACATGTCAAATCATGCATCAGATGGTCAGTTATACACTTTAAACTTACACACTGTTACATCTCAGTAGAGATGTAAAACATTACATCTCAATAGAGTTGAAAAAAAGTTTGTTAATCAAATGAATCCAGAGATGAAGTCACACTCTAGTAATTAAGGGGTGGAAGTATCTCACTGAAGGAAGAAATCATTTGGTGTCAGTAATCAGTAAGAGTGGTGTATCTTCAGATCAGAATCCAGAGCTGAAAGGACAGGTTCAAGGTTGACTGGTAAGGTTTATCCATTCAATTATCTCTTAAGTAGTTTTTTAGCCCTCTTCTGCTATGCGTGGCATGATAGTGTTTCCCTTTGACCATGGAGGTGACAGTGGGACAGAGAGGAGGCACCCCCCTGGGGGAGTTGACTTGAGACCTAAAGAGCAAAGAGCCTGCGACATGGTGCTTACAAGGCCCCAGGGCTGGAATTTGGTATCTGAGCCAAGGGTTGGCTGAAGTGGGATCAGAACTCCTGTGTTGAGTCAGCTGAACTATTTTTGTACATTTTTGCTTATATTTATATCCCAGTTGCCCTCCCTTGGTATTTAGCTAAGTCTTTTAAAAGTGCTCTGCAAAGGAAAATGAGGAACAGATTTGTGAAGACTTTTGAGAGTCCCTTGGGCTGCAAGGAGATCCAACCAGTCCGTCTTAAGGAGATCAGTCCTGGGTGTTCGTTGGAATGACTGATGCTGAAGCTGAAACTCCAGTACTTTGGCCACCTGATGTGAAGAGTTGACTCGTTGGAAAAGACCCTGATGCTGGGTGGGATTGGGGGCAGGAGGAGAAGGGGACAGCAGAGGATGAGATGGCTGGATGGCATCAGCAACTCGATGGGCATGAGCTTGAGTAGACTCTGGGAGTTGGTGTTGGACAGGGAGGCCTGGCATGCTGCGATTCATGGGGTTGCGAAGAGTCGGACGCGACTGAGCGACAGAACTGAACTGAACTGAACTGAGGACATTCATAGTGGCTACTGCAGCCTGGACATTTGAGGTGACTCCCCAAGCATGGTGAGTTTCAGTCATCTCCTGGAGGGCATTTTGGAAACGTATCTTTAGTGGAGACCATGATTAGGAGCAATTGGTTTTTCCAGTACTCATGTACACATGTGAGACTTGGATCATAAGAAAGGCTAAGTGCTGAAGAATTGATGCTTTCAAATTGTGGTGCTGGAGAAGACTCGAGAGTCCCTTGGACTTCAAGGAGATCAAACCAGTCAATCCCAAAGGATATCAACCCTGAAGATTCAGTGAAAGGACTGATGCTGAAGCTGAAGCTCTAAAACTTTGACCACCTGATGTGAAGAGCTGACTCACTGGAAAAGACCCTGATGCTGGAAAAGATTGAGGGCAAGATGAGAAGGGGACGACAGAGGATGAGATGACTGGATAGCAGCACCAACTCAACGGACATGAATTTGAGCAAATTCCGGGAGATAGTGAAGGATGGGGAAGCCTGGCGTGCTGCAGCCCATGGGGTCACAAAGAGTCGGACTCGACTGAGCAAGTGAACAACAACAACAATGAACAATTCAGAGCAATGATAGTAAAGACGATCCAAAACCTCAAAAACAGAATGGAGAAAATGAAAGAATCAACTAATACATTTAACAAGGACCTAGAAGAAAGAAAGAATGAACAGAGATGAACAACACTATTACCAAAATTGAAAGTGGACCATACTTTGAATAACTCTGATCTGTTAGAATTTGGTTCAAAATGTGGGCTATTACAAGTACTACTGCAATTTAAATAGTTAGGTGTACAATTTAATATAATTTTCTGATTATTTGCATACAATAAATTCTTAGAAATAGAAAAATAGTCTTATAAAATTTCTTTCTTATATTATATATATATATCAATTTTTTAAACTGAAAGTGTGATATTTCTTGTTACTATACATATGACTACAAGCCAGCATTTC